AGGCTGGGAATTTGGGTGGGGGTCCAGATCCAACTCAGTGGGGTACGCAGCCAAGCACGAGCAGGGCTGCAGCACAGCATCGAGAGTGAGCATCTCGGGTTGAATGCAGCTCTCAAGAGCAGTTGGAGGAAGGTGGTGCTGCTGCCAGCTCTCTCTTGAACGCCTTTTTCTTCACAGCCATCAGAACCCAGGTGAGACACCAGACACCTGAACCCATGGAACCAAACTCTCATTCCAGCTTCGGGTGCCGCTAAGGCACCAGCCATGTTTCACACTATCATAACAGCCTTAAACATTTGCACCTTAGACCCCTACTTTACGATGTAAAGTTATGTTACAACACTGAAGCATATGACCTTAAAAATGTCCTTAAGCTCCCGTGATTTCACCTTCCAGAAACTGAGCTACAGGCAGCCAACAGTCTTCTCAGAGCAGAGTGGGGAGCCTGTGCCATAGAGAGGGAGCAATAAAGTCACCAGTAAAGCCCACCTGCCCCAGTATGGTTAAAAGCAAATTCTGGGAGGGGCTTTTTTGGGTGCTGAGGCAGAGAATGTGGGGCTGGAGGGGAGTTTGAAGGGTCATCCCGTCCATCTCCTGGCCTCCAACAGGGCTTGGGCTTCTTCAAGCATCTTCCAATGTTGCTTGCCGCTGCTGGACGTTGCACTCCTGGTGTTGTCTACCCTCCGGCCGGGCTGTCCTGCCAGGGAGAATGCATTTTTCTCAGTGTCTACCCTAAAAAAGGCTTTGCCATAACTTCAGCTCCAGAGCCGGGATGGTCCCTGACACCGCTTGAGAGCTGGGATGTGGTTTAAGACGGCAGCCCAGCATACGAGGGAGGGATTTTGTTTGCTGGTTCAGGCTCCCCGGCTTAGTGGGTGTTTGTCCTTGATGCCTCCCAGCCGCAGATCCCCGTCCTTCTGTGCTTACAGCAGTAAAGCCTCCCAGCGTCCCCGGGGGCAGCAGTTAATCCCCTGCCCTGAAACACAGAACATACTCACCGTGCGCTCCCAGATCAGGCCCCAGCGCGCTCCATCGCTGCCTCAGAGGAAGACTTCAGCCGCGGTTTAACAGCAGATCCAGAAGACACCATCTATCCAGATCCCATAACAACGCTATCCCATCGGACATGCATTTATTTCTCGAACCTCAGGCTTCCACGCTTCACCTGGAGCTCCGTGCCAGCCAGCACCTCCAGCACTGTGGGACCAAGCACGCAGAGGTGCCACCCATCCTTGCTGCCACCGCTCACTGGCTTCGGGCCTGTCACCCCTCCTTGCATCTCTCGTCCCCACCATGCATTTCAGGATGGGGAGCGCAGAAGCCCGGCGGCAGTGCCCCTGTGGGAGGGTCCAGCGGCATGAGCTGGGTGCCTGCTACGAGGTCAGCCCCAGGCAGTGGCATCTCAGGGGCGAATGAGCCCCGGCATGGGGGTGCCCCAGCCTGCCTGGGGCTGGGTGTTATTTAAAAAGAGATGAAAACCCAGAGGACGCTTGGCGGGGGCTGCAGAGAGGGGCATGGACAAAGCGAGGCCCCCACGTTTGGGCACAGGGGGGCTTCAGAGGCAAATTCGTGGCCCTTAGCCCCGGGCGATAATCCACCTCGGCACCCTCACCATGCTGAAACCAGGCCCGGGGAGGGGAACCAGACCCCAGCCGTGCCCAGGAAGCTGCTCCCTGGCGGGAGGCCGAGGCCTGAGAACACACGTGCCCATGCGGGGGCCATCGCTGTCCTTTGGGGCTCCCGCTGGGGCTCGTCCTGCCCTGTGCCGCAGGGGCTTCTCAGAGCAGCATCCACCTTGGAGCGGAGGAGCGGGGGGATGGCCGGGAGCGGAGGGATGCCACCAGGCTGAGGTCACGGCCTGAAATACCCAGAGAGAGGGCCCCCGTGCCAGGCCAGCCCCCCCGCCGCTGCCAGGCCTTTGTGGGCAGCATCAAAGCCCCCAGCCCCAGCGCAGACACTGCCCACGGGACCCCCCTGCCCAGTCCGGCTCCAGGGACACCCAGCAGCAGCTGGCCGTGCTCCCCGGAGCCGCCCGGCACCGGGACAGCACCACGGAGCAC